TTTTTTTTTTTTTTTTTTTTTTTTGTCTTTTAAAGGGATAGACAAAATGAATCCTTTCTATTTTCTGGGTTTTGGACATTCTCATCTAGGCTTCTTCGGGAACAGGAGTGGACCTTTCAACAGAACAAATGAAACTTATTGCTACAGTACTGCTCAGGGCAGCACAGTGCTCCAAGGAGTAACTTTTGGTGGAATCCCAACTGTCCTGCTGCTCGACGTAACCTTCTTTTTTGTAAGCCCAGTTTTCTGTTTCTTATACTGAAAGTAGTTCTGGCCTCTCAAAAGTTAGATTGTTCAGAATTCTCCTTTTTTTTTTGGGTTGGAATTTGATTTCTGGGAATGTTCAGAATAAGAAATGAGTTGAGGCCATCCTTCTCTTTTCAAGTGTCGATAAGTGTTTGCGTACAGATGGGATGGTGGAGTCACTTTATGTTGGATGTGTAAATGTAGGGAGAGTGCAGTTTTACAGGTTCTGTGTATGAAACCAGTGAATTTTGTTGTTGTAGCTCAAATTTTCATATTTTATCTTAACTGCAAGAACATTTGGGTGTAAGTACTGGGTACATTTTCAGGAAGGGGACACCATTACTAACTCAGTTGTGAAATGACAGATTTTCCATGTTGTATTGCCTTTTGAAAAACCAACTTTTTAAAAACTAGATTTCCTGAAGCTGTAGATGAAGATGAAATAATGTACTGACCAGTCCTGACAAAAGGTGGTTAGCAGGTAGGTTAGGTTGAGAGCAACTAATATGATAAGTTGCTACCTGGGGGCTGCAGTACAGGCCTGAAACTGCACTAAAACTTGTGGTTATTTTTGTAAGCTTGGTCTAGTGTGGTCTTCAGCCACCAGAAACAGGGCTGCAGACCTGCAAATTGGCCTGTGAATAGGGTATGTGGTAGTAAAATAGACTAAAGGGGTAACAGTTTCTGAGTTCTAGAAATCTGCTGTAAAGAAACTTGAAGTACCTGTGGTCTGAGCTGGTCATTCTGTAGGAATGTAGAGGATACTCCTCAAAGTTATATAGTGGCATTCTTTGCTGTTGATTTGGTGTATGCTACCATAAATCCATTTTCCTGAGGATGTAAGGTATTTACAGCCCTCTGTGACCAATCGCACAGCATTTAATAAGATTTAGTTGAAGTGTTTGCCTGTTTTTTTTTAAACCTGTGGCTCAATTTTTAAGACACTGAGTTTGCTTTTGAGTTCCTTGCTGTTGAACTCTACTCTCAAGCAGGGTTAGGTGGAGAGTTGGGTACAGTGCAGGAGGCTCCTCTCTTCTTCAAATCCAAGAGCTGAAAATTATTTATAAAATTATTTATCAACTCCTGTATTCTTAGCTTTGATTTTTTTTAATATATTTTTACTGCATATCCTTTTACTAACTGTCAGTTGATGCATTTCTGATATGTTATTCCTAGGCTGGTTTCCAAAGAAAGTGAGGTTTATGTATTTGTCTTCCCATTTTTATCTGGTAGTCATTCCTAATAGCTGTATAATACTGTAGCCAATTTCAGCCAAAGTTGTGAAGAATGTAGAGAACTTTCCTGCTTGCACCAAGTTTACTGACCGGATGAAGGAGGAAGATCTAAATTAATCATCCCAGTTAGGAGGAAGGCTCTCATAAGAATGTTATATTCATTGTGAAATGTGGAAATTGGCTGTGTAATCTTGACACAGAGATAATCTGGATATGTATCCTGGCTGGCTAGTCGGTATTTGATCCCAGTACTAACACCACTAACTCCAGCCAAACAGGTATGGGATGGAGGAGGAACTGGAGGGTGAGGGTGTATGGTTACATATGCATAGAAAACAGGCCTTGATACATCATTGCTTTCTGTAGAGCAACTTGTTTCTTTAAAAAAAAAAAAAATTATCTATGAAATACTCAGTGATGGAGCTTTTTTCTTGTTTTCTTCCACTCCTTCAAAAAGGGAAAATACAGGGGGCAGATTAAAAATACATTGCAGAGATCAGAGATAGGTAGTGTTGGTCTGTGGTATGGCCACCACTGAGTTTATATTATGATACAATGATAATTGATTTAGGAGCTCAGACAGCATTTTTTGTCAGTTCTTAAAAACCTAAGAATGATTATTATGAAATGGGAAAAATAAATATTTTAATATTTTCTTTTTTCTTTTCTAGATTTTAATATTACTGTTTTCCATTATAAGAAAGAGATTCTGGGACTATGGTCGTGTTGCTCTGGTGTCAGAAGTCGAAAGGTAAAAAAAGATATACAATCAGACTGACTTATTGAAACCATGTGGGGAGAAAAGTACAGTAAATGTGGCTTTTATAAGGTGAATTTGTATCAATTAGATACATTTGTTATCACATGCACTTGTATGTTAAAAATGCTCTCACACTGCTTTGTGTGGAATACATCCCCCTCAGAGAGTTACTGTCTGTGGTTTCAGCCGTAAGTCCTGTGTTTCCATTGCCGTGAATTTCATCTTACAGCTGTGAGTTAAGGAAGTGGAGGTAAGGAAATAGGCTGCTTGTCTCTGACATGCTGCACACTGATGTTTGCAGTGTGCTTCTGTACAGAGGGATATTAACCATTTTGTTTATCTTGGCTCAAACCCAGTGTATTCTGAGAGCTCCCTGCACAGCCTGTGCCACAAAAGTTCCCAGGGGTTCAAAAATAAAAACTTACTGTCACAGGTTTCTAAAATTCTTCACTGGTTTTTAGTAGTATTTCAAATGAGCTTTTGATTTTTTTTATTTTTTTTTTTTCTGTAGGATGATGTGTTGGGATGTTTAAAATCTAAGCTGTCTGTGAAGTGGGGGAACTTTAACAGTGAACCCCTTCCTGGTGCAATCAAGTTATGGTAAATTCACAAATGAGCAACAGGAAAGAACTCAAACCCTGTTTTTAGGTGTAATCTATGGACAGTTGTGAAAGATAGATGATGTAAAATAAAATGGGCAGTAACTGAGAAGGCTTTAATCCAGCTGGCTGAGGCAGCAATCATGAAGGTGCTCTGGGACTGGGCTGTGGACTCATGGGGCCAACAGGCTAGAGCAGTCAGACATCCAGGAGCCTGTATTTTTGCCCTGCTGGACTGTGAGCTGAGCATGCTGGCCAAAATTACAGAGACACCTAGGAGCACACTCCATTCTAACAGGTGTCTTCCTCTAATTACCATTCTTTTTAGGGACAAACTGAATATAGGCACTCTGCTACATTTGAGGGCTACAGAGTTTCTAAATGTTTCTAGCATTGCTACAGGACTGTTTGTGTGTGAAGGTGACTTTGCAGGGATTTAGTTGTGAGGGGAAATTTTGAGCAGTGACTATACAATAAAGGAAGAAAGATGCAAAGAAAAGAAGTGATGTCTTGTGGGGAATATCCAAACAGGAAGCCAGCTTGCAAATCTGATCCTGCCTAGGCTCCCAAACCTGTGTTGCATTTGGTTAGATCACTGTGGTTTTAATAGCCTGATAAAATGTTATTTTCTTTCAAGTTCAGTTGTGTGCTCTCCTGTTGGGAGCTCACGTGTCCTCTCTGTTCAACACGAGACATAGACAAGTTACTATAATCAGGCATGTGCTACAGGGTGAAAATCACATAAGTGAAAAAGTGTGCTTCTACTACATCCCTTAGTGAGAATTGTTAAAGCTGAAATAATTCTGTAAAACTCCATCATCTGTTTTTAAAGATACTTAAAAGCATCATTTAATGTGTTTTAGTGAATCAAGATATAACCGGTTGTCAACATCATCATCAGTACCTGAAGATCTTGAATATGATAAGGTAAGTATTCTAGAGTTCTGATAATACTTTCTGAATGGAATCTGCTGGAATTTGCCATTCCATATAGTCCAATGAACTGTCATTAAACTGGAGGTTCATCTCTATGCAAAAATCAATAATGCATTGTTAATTGTGTTTTTATAGAACAATGCACAATCTCTGTTTCCTGACAAACTATTGTCATACCATAAAACCAGTATCTTGTGTCATCATTTCTAAGTCTAGTTTGGTTTTTGTTTTTTTTTAATTTAAAGAGGGACTATGTTAGTGTTTCAAAATGAGAAGGGTGAGTGAAAAAAAGACTGGTAAATAATTTGTGCTGGGAAAATAGTTCAAAAAGTTGTGTTCACATTGCAAATAATACCTGGTTGCTCTTTACAGTACATTGTTTTCCTCACAGTGTTGAGAAAACTGGATGCAAGTGCGAGGCTAATAATAGTGTTATGCACTCTTAATAATCAAATTGGTTTGGAGTGGAGGGTAATATTTTGGCCAGACTTAACTGGCTCCCTCCATGGTCTTTCTGAAGTCCTTGAATTGGTACACCTCTATAATTTTGTGTTGCAACTTCAGAATGAACCATGCAAAAGTTGTCCCATAGTGGCATCCTAAGTTTTCATCATTTTATATATGCATGCATCAACTTAATATCTAGCCTTGCAATTAATTATTTGTGTGAGCATCAAAAGCATACTAGTGTTTGATCAGGATTGCTTTGCTATTTGTGTACTTTACTTCATCTTTTTAAAACCCTAAAGCAACTTTAGCCATTGAGTAACACGTATCTATTTAGTTGGATAATGTTCACTTGAAAGAAGAGCCCTTTTGAGAGAGAAGGGTTTTTTGAACCATAGCAGAATGCTCAGTGAGATGTGAATTCTGCTATCCAGTTTCATTGGGAGATTTGTAATCCTACATAAGAAGCCTTTCTGTTAATGTAATTACAGCAGTGTTTTCAGCAAGCATTTAACTGATTAACTTGTATTAGACCCTTGTATTTCAGAGCAACAAACTACCAGTTTTTTAGCTAAGAGAAATACTTGTCTTAATTGGATTTTTGTACGTTAGCTCCTAAAAACTTCATTTTTTTTTTATTTCTAGGGGTTTTGTTCTTGGATTACAGCTGCTTTTCGGATGCAGTAAGTATATGAAACAGAAATAGTGAGAGCTGTGGTTTGTTTAGATCTTTTTTAATGTAGAAAGGTGGTTTTCATTCAAAAATGTTGGGGGTTATTTTCACCTTTGAGCAGATAGAATTTTAATACAAGCACTGATACAGGTGTCTCTGGTTGGTTGAAAAAAGGAAGTGAAAACAAGGTCAATTTACAGGAATACTTTTTCAGGATACAGTTGTACTGCTAGCAGCCCAGGGACTTCCCAATCTTAGGACAGTATGTGAATCTGAGTGAATCTATAGCATTTATATGGATTCAGAGCTAATAATTACACTCTAGGATTTTACTCTTCAAAGAGTACCTTGTGGGTGTTCCCTTGTTTGAAGCCAGTAAGGCCCCAGGCAGGCACTGGGATTTCTCTGCAAGGGTTTCTGTGGAACAAGTGGTTTAGCTGGGGCTGGAATTGACTAACTAGGGAAAGTCCATCCCAGTGTTTCCCAGAAACAGAATGTTAGACATGTGGTGTATGTTCTTTATGTGTCTTGGGCCTTAGTAGCTCATGACTTTGAAAATAAATTTCTAGCTTGGATACACTGAAACATGAAAGAGGTGGGGGTTAAGCCTGTGTTTCTCCAGTTTTGCTAGTTCAGTTCTTTCCTTTTCCAAGTTCTCCTATTCTAAGGATCTAATCTGCTGAAAGTGGAGAGATGGTGAGACTTTATTCCAAAGCCTTTTATTTCCTATTACCTGGGTGTCATAAGAGTGAGGTGGTTTTGTTGTAATTTGCCTCACAGGGAGCCTTTATGGAGATGAGTGAATACTGTTACTGATCTTAAATTTGGAGAGCTAGGCTTGTGACTGGCATAAAGCAGGTCTCAGCAAAAGACTTCGTCATCTTTTAGTCCAAAAGGATTTGCTTTTCATATTTGCTTTTCAGATTATTGTTGCAATCCTAAATTCTCTAGTGTTAAGTTTTGTATGGTGTTATTGCACAAAAAAAATACACTTTTGTTACCAGAATTTACACGTGAAAGAGCACAGCCATTTTGAAAGCCAATAGGGATTGATGGGAATGAGGATGTCACTGAGTAGACTGAGGATTTAATGTGTGTTCATAAACCACTACCAAGAAGACTAAAAGACATGTGCTTTTCTGTCTGATGCAGTGATGATGAGATTCACGAGAGGTGTGGTGAAGATGCCATACATTACCTCGCCTTCCAGCGTCACATCATCTGCTTGCTGATTGCTATCAGCATTTTGTCCGTGTGTGTGATATTGCCTGTCAATCTATCAGGTGATCTGCTTGGTAAGAATTTATTTTCTTGTATTCTTATAAGAATTCTTTAGTTTATATAATACGAAAACTCTTCAGTTTTTTGGTTTTTTTTGTAAAGCTTATAAGGTGATGTTTTAACCACTATAGTGGGTTGACTCTGGCTGGATACCATCTTCACAAACTGCTGCACCATAAATCACTCTTCTACAGGATGCAGTCCCTCGTGCACAGCGTGGGTCCCCCACAGGGTCACAAGTCCCACCCGCTCCAGCATGGACTCCTCTCTCCATGGGCCCACAGGTCTCTGCCAGGACCTCCTCTAGCACAAGCCTCCCACAAGATTACAGCCTCCTCTCAGGCATCCACCTTCTCCAGTGTGGGTCTTCTCCACAGACTGCAGGTGGATCTCTGCATCCCCATGGTTCTCCACCATGGGCTGCAGGAGAACATCAGCTCTGGTGCCTGAAGCACCTCCTGCCCCTCCTTCTGTACTGACCTTGGTGTCTGCAAAGTTGTTTCTCTCATATTCTCACTCTGCTCTTCTCTGTCTGCAGTTAGATCGCCACAATAACTTTTCTCTCCTTCTAAAATATGTTATCACAAAGGTGTTACTAGTGTTACTATCATTCCTAATTGCCTTGGTCTTGGCCAGCAGTGGGTCTGTCCTGGAGCTGGCTGGAATTGGCTGTCTTGGACATGGGGGAGGTTGGTAGCTTCTCACAGAATCTACCCCTGTACCCCTCCGTTACCTAAACCTGGCCACACAAACCCAACACAGCCCCTCAGTCTGATGTCAAATTTGTGTGATTGTAGTGGGCTCTTTAAACTGTTGTCAGAAACAAGATTGCAGACCTGCAGACACAGATGACAAGATTTAAAAGGCTTAAGGCAGGATTAACTTTATCCATGCCCTCTTACCTGGTATTGATCATTATGTTTTTTATTGGTGGTGATTGTCAATGGAAAACATCTTCACAGCTGAGAAATATTTTTCTGAATCTCTTTTGCTTCAATTAATTTAAAATCAGTATTTTTGATCTGTCACTGGAGATTATAGATTATTCTTTTCCTCTTTACAAAATCCTTGTAGCTGCTTAAGAGTAATAAACATTTTTATCTGCTTTTTCCTCTTATAAACAAACCAGTTAATTTGGTCTTTAGTGAGAAATATTCTCCATTTGGCTGATCATAAAATCATCAGCCATGCCTTGAATTTTTGTTTTAATCTAGCTACACTGTCTCTGATTGTTCCTTTATGTCTTGGTTTGTGTCTCAAAATTGGACATATCTTGCAGAGACTTTGTCAATGCTGAGTAGATAAAGTTCATTTCATGTTTCTTGCAGTCTAGTCCTGATTATGTCTTCCAGTGTGGCACCTACAAATACAATAATGTCCTCTAGTCTGCCATTCAGTTTGCTGGTGGGAAACCTGAGTTCTTTGAACGAGATCTCACTATGATTTCTTCAATTTTTATAAATTCTTATGAATTCTTCCATTTATAAATTCATCCATTTTTGATTATGAGTGCTTACAATCCCATTTTGTACCTGGCTTTGTATCAGTCTCTTCAAGATCATGTTTAAAGTATTGTTCATGGTTTTAAGAACATTGTGACATAGCTCTTGTCTGTAATAGGATACACTGTACCTTTTTCTTTTTGTATTGTTTCGCTGTGGAACTTCCATCTCTGACCTCCCTTTTATGAGCGCTTTCTTGGCAATTCTCTGTATATATTAATATCAGCTTTTTATTAAAGCAGGACAATATAGCTTCTGTTTTTCTGCATTAGCCTTTGTGAGTCTAGGAAATACAGCAGAAACCAAAGCTTTAGTATTCTCTCCCCTTCTTCCTCCTCTTGCGCTGTAAGCTGATTTTGTGCATTTGAAGTTCTTTCAGTTGTGATGACTTAACTTGCAATGTGGTTTAACAGTCTGGGCTAGAAGGATTGCTTAGCTTTCTAGATACACTTAACTCCTTTTCCTTTGTGATCATTCACTCAATTTTCCCTCACTTGCATTATAATTTTTTTAAATACTTGACAGTCTAGAGAAATTATGTCATGTAAACCTATTTTTGACCTTACCAAGGTTGTTAACACTGTTTTGTCAACACTGAATTAATGCAGTTTAAAAGCCTGAGATAAGAAATCAATTAAGATGAAAGAAAAATGTGAAGGAAATTATGTTCAATCCCTAATCAGTGTTGTTAATGGACATGATGGGAGACTGGAGGGAGAAAGGGAACTGCTTCAAAGATCTAGTGTTTAGATTTTCAAAACACTTTACTGTTTTTCTTGATTACTTGAATGTGGTATAATCTAGGGATGTTTTTTTTCCAACTTTAAAATGCAGGACAGAGTAAACCAGCATTGATTATGATTCTAAATCTTTTTATCAATTAACTTGCTCAACATTAAAAAGAAATGTAACAACTTCTTTAAAAAGTAGAGTAAAAGCTGACTTTCTGGCAGTAAGTGTTGCACCAGTTAATTTTCCTACTTGTTATTATTCTTCCTAGATAAAGATCCCTATAGTTTTGGAAGAACAACTATAGTAAACTTACAGACTAGGTAAGTCAGTCTTGCAGAGTCCCTCTATGCTGATGTTTGTTTCCTGCCATGGTCTCTAAACATAAGAATTGATATTTGCAGCATGGCTCATGGGGTTGGAGTAACTTAATCCCTGTACATCAGCTGAAACTGGGATATGTTCTGCTTCAGGCTGTGCACTTACAGTGCTGATAAGAAATCCTGAGACTGGGCTTCTACTCTCTCAGCTCTCACTTCTTACACCACATGTTTCTCTTGGCTAATGACTGCACACCCAGTGATATTATTTTCAGAAATTTCCCCGTTAAGGGAAACGATGCTTCAGAAGGAAGGTAAAGCTGATAACTTTACTGGAATGTGTAGCTGGGATGATTTAAATTCCCTTACATTAGATTTATGTGTGTGCATATCTCTCCCATCTGAGATTACAATTAAAATGGCTTCTATGTGTTTTAAAAAGTCTGCAAAATAGTTGAAGTACAAAGCTGCACAGATCTTCTGATATTTTTCTTGATCAATCCACATCCATCCCTGACACTGTGTCCAGTAGAATTTCTGTTTTGTTTAACCATGTTATGAAACCAATTAACTAATGGGGATTTTTTTAACTTTGTTGGATTTTTTTATCTGCAAAATTCTTGTTCTGAATTTTAGTTCAACTGCAATTATTAATGCTCTTTACAAAACTGAAGAGCTCTTCACAGAACAGAACTTCTGTAAGCTTTGAAGAAGGAGCTGCTAGAAAAGCAGAATTTACTCCCTGTATGAGACTGTTTTCAATTTGAATAAGGATTGCAATCAAGGAGAGTTCAATTATGCACTCAACACAGTAAATAATAAAGTAAATAACAAACATTTTAGCAAGTAGCATCATATGTGCTGTAGGTTGCCTGAATGAGAAAGTGAAAGCCAATCACTGCCTAAATATGTCCATGTCATAAAGTATCTTTTTCTTTTCAGCTATATGACCCATAGAATTTTATGATTGATTCATTTGATGAATGAGAAGCAAATAATCCTGTTGGCTGTCCAAGGCATCTGCATAGGTGTGACTGACTACCAGTGATTGCCTTTTTTTTCTTGTTTTGTGTTCAGTGGGAGGTTTTGATCTGATTATTGTTTTGATAGCTGCTTGTATCAGTTGGACAATTGGTTCTTCCTGTTTCTCATATTCCTAACATTTTGTCTGACAGCAATAATCTTCTTTGGCTGCACACAGTTTTTGCTGTTGTTTACCTGATTCTGACTGTTGTCTTCATGAGACATCACATGAAGTATGTCACATATAAAGAAGAAAACATAGTAAGTGTCTGTATTGGAGAGAAAAAGTGTATTTGCCAATGCATAATGCTAAAAAAGCAAATTGCTAAGATGCCTCTTGCATGCTAGAATGGCATGAATGCTAGTGACATAAATGTGAAGGAATTGACTGAAAGCAATGCTTTACTGAGTGAATTGTGAAAACGGATGGAGAGAAGGGGGTTGGGGAGGGATTTGTAAAATTTTGCTGTAACTGGTTACCAGTGTAGAAAGTTCTGTCTTAAATAGATGAGCTTCCACCAAAATCAAAATTACCTACCTTTTTTCCTGCTCTACTGCACAGCTAATTGTGATGTATTTTGGCCTTCTTTATATTCTTGTTTTCTGTTTTGTAAGGTGGTTTATCAAAATGTAACTTGTGTTTTCTTTCCTAGGTTAAGTGCACATTGTTCATAACTGGTCTTCCAAAAAATGCAAGTGAAGAGACAGTACAAAACCATTTCACGTAAGTTCCATACTTGAGAAATAATATTAGAGTCATAGAATGGTTTGGGTTGGAAGGGATCTTAAAGATCATCCAGTTCCAATTCCCTGCCATGGGCAAGAACACCTCCCACTACACCAGGTTGCTTAGAGCTCCATCCAGCATAACCCTGAACACTTCCAAGTATGGGGCATCCACAGCTTCTCTGGGCAACCTGTTCCAGTGCCTCACCACCCTCACAGTAAAGAAGTTCCTCCTAATATCTAATCTAAACCTATGCTCTTTCAGTTTGAAGTCATTCCCCCTTATTCTGTCACTACAGGCCCTTGTAAAAAGTTTCTTTCCATCTTTGTTTAGGAATAGGAGATGTAAAATTTTCCTGGTAGTTCTCCCTGCCCAAGTAGATAAGTATTTTGAATTTTGCGCTGTTTAAAATATAGAAAACACTAGATTTCGATGAAGTTAGTTAAATGATCTTAAAATCAGAGTTTAAGAAAGTGCCTTTGTATCCACACTTTCCATTCATGCCCCCATACTGCATTTACTCGGAATAAAGCTGTGCATGTCATATTAAAATAACTTCCAACAACTGTCTGTGGAAGTCTCTGCTCTCTGATAATTCATTCAGAAATTAAATGAGTGATGAGATGTCAGTTAGATACCAGTGCTGCTCTTTGAAACAATTTCTTCATTGTACTTTCTGTTCTTACTGTTCCCATGTGCTGCTTCCTTTCAGGGATGCCTACCCAACCTGCACTGTGCTGGAGGTCCAGCTGTGTTACGATGTAGCCAAGCTTATTAACCTGTTCAAGAAAAGGTACTTGCTTTTGTTACCCACATGAGTTTAGCTTAATTTTATGGATGTTTTGCTAGTCCTTAATCAACATGTACCTGCAGTACTAACCTAGTGCATCCTAAGAATGGATTCTGCTCTTCAAGTTCTGGTCTGGACTTCAGTTAGATTCCACTGTGCTTTAAAGGGGTTTATAGGGTTCAGCCCATCTCTTGTTGGTGTGATATGTTGTGTTTTGCCTAAGTTAAGTTTTGACTTGCTGATTATTTATGTATATATGTACTTAGTTATTTCTAGACAGGCAGTGCAAAGTGAAAAACTGAACTATTGAATTAATAACTCTGTTAACCCTGCTTCTTTGGCCAGAGGTGCTGATCACAGGAGAGACAAGTGTTATCTTCTGGGCTCTCAAGAATAACGTTGGGTTGTTCTTTTCCTAGAACCTTACTACAAGTGTAGGCTGTGTAATGATATTATGGACTTGCAAGTAAATTATATAAGTAACCAAAATAAACTGCATGTAAATATCTTTGATGACTGATTAATTTGCTATCAGTCCTTGACATAATTTTTTCCTCTCAGGGATTATAATCTTTTTAAGCTTGTTGATACTGTTTTCTTGAAAAATTTTATGGATGCATTTTTCTGTGCAGAAAACAGGCAGAAAAAAGCCTGATTTACTATGAACACCTGCATCAGAAGTATGGCAAGAGGGTCAAAATCAACCCTAAGCCATGTGGTCAATTCTGCTGCTGCGAAATGGGAGGATGTGAAAGGGTAAGAGGTTGTGTTCTTTATTAGTTATGGCTAAGTAGGTTATTAGAGTAGAAAACAGTTTTTGTGTCATGTTTCATTGACCTTCAGAAAATTCTTCATTGCCCATAGCTCATCTGCCATGTTCTTATACTGCATAGAAAAGGAATTCCCTGAAACTTTTGGAATGTAATCTTAGTGCACTAGCTGAAGTACAAGAAAATCTTCTTGTTTGTCTTTGCCTTGTGACATGACTTGTAATTTGTGGGAGTGGCATGAGGAAGGGTGATTATGGTTTGTGTAAGCTGTGTGTTAATGAGGATATTGGCCATCTGGTACCTGCATGTAACAACCATCAATTTCCCCACAGGAGGATGCTGTAGATTATTATACCAAAGTTAGAAATGAACTTGAGGAAGAATATTTGAAAGAGGAACAAGCTGTTCATAATAACCCACTGGGAATGGCTTTTGTAACATTTCAAGAGAAATCCATGGCAACCTAGTAAGTTTTGTCTGTTGTCTTGTTTGTTCTTTTTTTACTAAAATAGTACAACTGATCTCTTGTTTGTGTCCCTTGTTTGCTTATGTTGGTTCTTCCTTTCTTCTTTTTCACCATTCTGGATTTGCTCTGCTTTGCTTTCTGGTAAGTTTTCCCATAAATGTGTTTTAGCCTCTTTGGTTTGAATGAAGAAATTATCTAAGGGACTAAAAGGCTTGGGACAGTTAATGGGATAAAGAGCCTTTCTCTTCTGCGTGGGATCCATCAGTGTAGGTTAATAGGAGGCCAGACTAGCTGGTTCTTGAATATCAGTTACTGACATCTCCATTTCCTACTGTGCAAATGGTCCAATTACCAACTGGTCAGAGTGAGTACAAATTACACTGCCAGTTAAGTCATCTCAGCAGTGTAGGGACCTGGCCACAGGTGATAGATACACATATTCTGTATATCTCTTACTTGTTGTTATAGATATATGTGTAGGCCTAATAGCAGAAGTTTTTCTGTGCTTTGATTCAGTCATTTGCAGAGAAAAATGTGTGTAGCCTCTCATGTTCTGTTGGCACTTTGTGAGCATCTTTTGCTAACATAAAGTATAATAGAAGAATAGAATATATTATAGAAGAATATTATAGAATATTATATATTATTCTATTATAGAATATAATAGAAGAAGCAGAATAATATTCATATTACAATGTAATACATCATGCTTTTTTCTGTTCTTAGCCTCTGTGGTTTAAATCATCTGCATTCTTTTGGCCTTCAAGTCATGTTAGAGAGACAGTTTTTCAGACCATTTTTCAAGGAAGTCCCGGATGTAGGATTTCTTGCAAGAATTTGGTATATTGGAGAAAGTTTTGCTTGCTGCTCTTTCACTGAGTAGTGGCTGTGATGAAATCTGCCTCTTCTAACAATTTTGTAATGAAATAATATTTTGAGATGTGAAAATGGAAGAAGGAATGACTGCTGAAATTCCTTCTCTAGCTACGGATGTGTTGTGTACAATTTTGATGGGATAGTTCCTCCTTGAGCAAGCATTCCGAGTTACACTGCAGGCATCTCTGAGTTGAATCATCAAGACCTTAAAATATTTTAGTTTGTTTAGCTTGGAATTAATGTGGTAGACTCCACTCCCTGGGAAATTAATTAAATTATGTGTGAAGCTGAGGCTCCCATCAAATTAGAAAGTTATTTGGTGCCCTTAGGATGCTCTGCTCTGCAGAGCCCTGAAATAGGATGAGAGAAATAGGATGCAAATAAGTGAGGTTCTGGGGGCTTAGGTGGTTGTAGAAGCTTTTTAATGATGGCTGAAACTTGCTCTGTATGTATTTTTAAAAATAAACTATCTAAGAATAATCAACTGTCTTAAATGCTTGCTGCTGCAAGATGCTGGCAATCTGACATCACTGCTTGAATTCTGGTAAGGAAAAGATCTGGGGGGTTGAGGGTTATGTTTGTTAGCTTGGTGTTTGTGTGTGTGGTTCTCTGTTGTCTTTGTGTTAATACCACAGCTGAGAAACAAGCTTGTTCACAAATTTTAGGATCTCCCCATTTAAATATAATATATATTGTTTCTATGCTACTGTAATAAAATAGTCTCTGAATGTGTGCCTCACCCTTTTCCTGCTGTCCTTTGAGAGATCTTTGAAAGCATTTATTTTGGGCATGTTTAAATTTTCTTTAAATATTTTGAATGTCAGTAAACTCATAATATTGGAAGATAGAATTAAGCACTGTGATTATTTTAGGAGTGGGTAAAAGAGGTTAATATTTTGAATTGTGAGAATACCAGCATGCTAAAAATTCTTCTGAGAATTGGTACTCAAGGCAAAATTGGCTGGTTTTGATGCCAGTGTAAAGCATTAGTCTGCAGTCTCATTTCATTAGTCTACTTTGATTTGAAAACAGCTGTATTATGTAAAAATGTGTTTAGGAAACTGTCTGTCTTTAATTTTTTTTCCAATGCTCTCAGGCTTTGATTTTTTTTTTTTTAATATGACTCATTGCTGTTGTTCATGTTGGTAGAAGCAGTAAACAATTTAAAAACAAAGTTGCTTTTATTTCCAACAAAACAGAGCTCAAGCCTGTGGTAGCAACTGTTTATGTAATGGTCATTATTGCATAATATGTTACATTATTGTTTAAGTTCTAGCTTGATCACAGGTTACTAAAATTAAGAAAAAAAACCAAAACCTTTATCACTATTTCCAGATTTTCTCCTTATATATATAACATTTTCTGGTGTAAAAAAAATTGGAAAAATCTTCCTCTTCCTCCTTACAGCATCCTTAAGGACTTCAATGCTTGCAAATGTCAGAGCATTAAGTGTAAAGGAGAACCCCAGCCATCACCCTACAGCAGGGAGCTGTGTGTATCCAACTGGGAGGTTACATATGCTCCTTATCCTGAGAATATCTGTTGGTAAGATTCCTGTTTTACATCCATTTTTTGGTGATAATGTAGGTTTAAAATGGGCCCAGGACAAATAGGGATGAGACTAAACTATAAAACTAAAGCTTTATGTAGTGTTGGAATGAATGTGGCTGATCTGCCTCTTTATTTTCATTACTGGTGTTCTTCATTGACCTTGGGATGTGTGGATATTACTTGGGGTAATGGACTAGAGTTTTTCCACTCCAAAATTTAAAAGTAAACCTAATCCTGTTTATGTCTGTCCCTCAGTGCTTCCATTTCTTGAGGCTAGTGTATATCTACTCTTGAGATCTGAGGAAAGCAACTTGCTGTTAGTGCTGAGTATCCTCAGAATATGTGTATATTTTTCTGGGTTGCCACATGATGAGCATAACTTGATGCACTCTGTAAACTCTGGTCTGTCTTCTTCCTGTTCTTTTCCTTTTCTTCCCCACTGCCTTGAAGAAGAAGGACCACAGGGATATGCCAAGTTCACAAGAAGGCTTGTCATAATTTGGGATGTTACTGAGCCTCTGCATCCCTGTTTTGTTTGTTCTGAATATTTGGCTTTTCCTGGCATTCAAATCATTCCAGTTCTTTTGGCAACCATCTCAAGTAACATTTAAGAACTTGTTTAAAATCTATAATTGCTCTTTTAATATAGCAGGAAGGGATGCAGTGTTTAAAAATTTGAAATTTTATTTCAAATCACAGTTTTTTCCTAGATTATGCCTCTGATAGGTGTTCTCCTTGCAGAAATTCTGTGTCTTCTATCCCTGTCTCTTCTTGTTCCATTTCTGTTTAGTATTTCTGTGTTATTGAGCAATGGAAGTGTTTCATCCGAAACCTTAACTAGATTAGACATTATGTTTGTGTAATGAAAGATTAAGTATGTTCTTCTGCAAGCGCAATTTATGGTATCATTCAAAAGAGGTTGCACAGTTCTCTTCATTTGTAATAGCAACTGGAACTTGTGTAGTGCTTTGTTATATAACTTTGAAAGCACTGTTTAGAAAAAGCGATGCCACCTGTTACTTGACAGATAATGTATGTATCTTCTTTTAACAGCAAATGCTTGCTGCTTGTTTTAATGTCTTTTTTATTTTTACTTCTTTCTCCAGGAAGAATCTTTCAGTGCATGGATTGAAATGGTGGTTTAGATGGGCTTGCATTAATCTGCTGCTTTTTATTGTGCTCTTTTTTCTTACTACTCCTTCCATAATCATCTCAACCATGGACAAGTTCAATGTCACTAAACCTATTCACTACCTTAATGTGAGTATTGCCATATGTTTGGATGTAGCTGTGGATCAGGGCAAAATTTTGGTAAACTGATAGTGTTTCATTGTAATACCTTTAGTTTAAATTCCTACCTGACACCTTCAGTTGAAATTCTCAGGACTGTTTTATGTAGCTGCTGATTAAAACCATAAGTCCAGAATCAGGTCTTTAACCATCTTTTTTTTCCTGCATAATAATCTGAAGTAATTTTTATCTGAGGCTTTATATTATTATAACGTATTTATGTATTTGTGGTAAAAATTTGCAAACCAAACTTAAGTAATTCGAAATTTTATAATCAAAAAATCTTTGCGAAAAATGGAATTTTAAGTCCAACTTGTATTTTGATTTTTATGATAAGAAGGGGAGAATCAGATTTTTAACTCTAAGGTAAAATGCTGTTTTTATTTTGCTTATAGGGTTCAAAGCAAGATGGCATATATATCTGATCCTAGTTTGACTACAGCTAAAGCAACTTGCAAGCAGTTTTTTTTAAATATTTCCCCAAGCTAGTGTAAACTACATAAAAACTGCTTGTGAGACTGAAGTCTCATGGAATTTAATTCCCAGTCTTACTTTTTTGTCTTGCATGCCAGTGCTAAGCACTCACTACTTAATTTAAGACTATCTGAATATAATTTCTCCAGTTCATCCTGCTATAATTTACAAAAAGCAAAATATTAGCATCTGTGTTCCACCACAACTGCATTAAAGTGTTCTTAATATTTCTTCTTATTTTCTCCCCCACTAGAATCCTGTCATCAGTCAGTTTTTCCCAACACTCTTGCTCTGGTCCTTCTCAGCTTTGCTACCAACAATTGTCTATTACTCAACTTTGCTGGAGTCACACTGGACAAAGTAAGCAACATTTTCCTGTTTTGTACCTTATCAGCTGAACTACTAAAATAAATGAAAGTGCTGATCTTTCATAGAGCTCTCAAATCTGCAGACCTCTCGTAGCAGGGAATTTCCTGTTCTTGTCTCTTTCTGGTTTTATAACCACACTTCAGGGGTTGGGTAATTTGTAACCCACACAGCAAGTGTAATATGACCACATGATTTGCTTATGCTTTCCCCTGCTTCCCACCTCACTCCTCTTTGTGTTTAATCAGAAAAAAGGTGTATGAGCAGGCTCAGGAGGTGTAGCTTCAACAAGAGCATGGGAAGTGCCTCTAATCCCATAATTAACTTGCTCCCTGGGAAGACAGTCCATGTGGTTTGGATCCTCTCCAGGCTGACAGCTTATAAAAAGGGCATCCATCTTTTTGTTGTTTGACATTACAAAATGGTCTGGGATGTAACTCCTGGTGCACAGCTCAGATCTGTCGGATATGATGCCTAGAGAGGCTGATCTGGAACAGCGGCTAGGCAGAGTGAGAGGAATAAAGTAGGTATTTATTAAAAGGCCTTAAAGGTTACACGTTGGGCAGTACCAGAGCCTGGCCAGGGCTGCACCCAACATGGACCAAGATGGTTGCAAGATGGACGACCAGTCCCAGGTTTTGACACTTTCATGAAAGTTTTGGTTCATTTACATATTGGGGTTAATTGTCCAATTACAGCTTCAGGTTATGAAGTCCCATCCTCCTTGTTTGCTCTCTTCAATTCCCCTTTGTTTATACTTTTTGGGCCCCAGGCTGCAGTTGTCCTTGGTTCTCAAGCTGGAAAAGGATTGTTTTGTCTACCTACCCCGTGAAGAGATCTTAGTAACACTTCATATGAAATTCAGAGTTTCACACCAAGGCAGCACAGAATCCTGAAAATACGAAAGCTAAAACTTAAGGCATCATTTCCCCCCTTTAGAGGCTTGACAAGTCCTCTACCTTGTCAAGTCTCTATCCTAAATATCTACTAATAAAAGGTAGTAATAATTAATAATTCATAATTCAGAACAGATAACAGGTGAATAGCTAACAATAGTAGATTGTAATAAACATCTAACAACAGATAAATGTGTAATAGTAAATAAATACCTAACAATAGATAAATATCTAATAATAGTAAATATCTAACGGTAAACAGTGGTGATCTGAGAAGACTTATGGGGCCAAAGGTCCAATAGATGTGTTGATGCAAGGTTTTCACACTGAACTGGTGCACCCTAGAGATGTCAAGCCCACTAATGCGCTGCTGACTTGGAGAGAGAACTCAGAACTCAGCACAGCTTGGTTTGGAGTACCAGATTTGATGCCCTGTTTACCTGATCACAGATAAAAGTGTGGTAGTTCACATTCAATCCCATCTTCACTCAACTTCTCTCAGTCTTTATCCATAAAGCTTGTAGTCATTGTTTGTTTTTATATTCTGAAGTAATTTTGGTGGTTTTCCTTTTGAATTTTTGTACAATTCCTTTCTAAGACACCGTGTCCAGAGTCTACTGTTTATTTGTCACAGTTGTATGCTTTGCATCAACTCTGTTTTGGTAGCTGTGCTACACACATGAGCTTTGAGCCCTTCTCAATCAGTTAAAGTAATTTTCTGAAGTCACTAGAGATCACAGGTCTGATTTCAAGCCTCGGTGTAGTTACACTGATAGGTCTCGCAGTGCCCAAGTGTTCCTGTAATAAAACCCCTGTGATTTTAAAGCCCTATCAGATACCACCTCTAAGAGTCTGAAGTGTTCATAGTGCTGCCCTTTTCTGGCAACAGAGTGTCACTGGATCCGTGTCCCTGCTACTGTAGTAGGGGTATAGCATTAGTAGTGTCATGTTGTTCCCCAAGAGTTGACACTTGACAGGAAGGTTGTCTAAGTATCTGATTTCCTGGCAGCAGTGCCCTTTTCTGAACTGCTTAATCCTTCCTGGCATGACACTTGGAGAGCTGTTTGTTTACAAGCTGTTGCAAGATTGAGTGTCTTTGGGTGAAAGACCAGCTGTGCTGGTCGCACATCCCCGTGCGTGTTGTGCAGACCTGTAGTGATGCTCATCCAGAGTCTGGATTAACATTCAGCAATATTTTTGTTGCCCAAGAAGATACTGAAAGTCTGCTTGGTCCATATTGGTGAATATCTCAAAGTTGTTTGGTTTTTATCTGGTAGCAATGTGATACAATAGGGAAAGCTGGAAGTCTGACAGGTGCTGGCATTGTCCAGGAAAGATCCTTCATATGTGGCAGCTTTTTGTGTGAGTTTCTTACTCAGTGCCTTTTTATGTTGATAGATCTGCAGAGAACAGAATAATGATGCATAAAGTCTACATATTTTTGATCTTCATGGTATTGATTCTGCCTTCCCTTGGTCTGACCAGGTAAAGAATTATAGTTTAATGAGATAATGGCTGAGTATTTCTATAATGAGACATCTTGTGTTTTCTAGTTGTGACCTATAGTCCATGTATCCTCTCTCCAATGTGTGTGGTTATGTTATCATTACATTAGATTTCCATGGTCATTTTACATCTGGGATCCTCAGAGCCCTTAAAAGTTTCTGAAGCCTGTCTTTTCTTTTAACAAAGAAAGTTAAGACCTTGTGAGATCAATGGCTTATTAAAAGTTGCCCATACTCACCATTATAGATGAGAACCAAGTTTCCTGGCTGTGTCTTACACTTCAGTTGGAGTTGTCCTTTTTTTTCCACCTTTACAGTTTCTGGTTGTTTCCCTGGGTGTCATGAATTTATCCTATCTGTATAATAATTGCTAAAAATGAATCATTAAAACTTTAATATGAAGTAGATGTTTTTGTTCTGTTTCATTTTGTACCATTTTTCTTATTTCTAGCTATCCATAACTTTGATAAAATGTTCAGATTATTTGATTAAATTCTCTCTATCCACTGTCTTGATTTAAGCTGCTTAAAAAGAGAAGCAATTTTAGACAGTACTAAGGTGTGGGAGACTGAATTGCATTCACCATCTTCCTTTCAGCCTTGATTTTTTTTTCCGCTGGCTGTTCGACAGAGAATCATCTGATTCTGCAGTCAGGCTGGAGTAAGTATCAGCTAATATTCTCTCTTTGCTGTTCCTTTGTAACGGAATACTTAGGACTTAAAATGTTTTTTGCTGTTTACTGTCATTGGTTAGTGTTTATTAAAGTTTGCTCAGGGTTGCTACTCTAGGATGATGTTGAGCTTCTGAATAAGGGGAGGAGACGATAAGGTTGGACACTAGAAAGAATTTCTTTAGAGAGAGGATGACAAGATATTGGAATTGGATGAGGATTGTTGCATATCATGGACAGGGGATCTTCACAAGGATTACAGTGAGACCAAAGAGCTGCAGCAGTTCTCTTTCCGTAATCCAGTGAATCTTGATTTTAAGAAAAATGTAAGTTTTTACACACATTACATTGCAAATTTGCAGATATTGCTTATTTTAAGCTCTTGTGCCTGTGCCTTGAGGGAAAGAATAGAATGCAATTATTAGGATATGGATTTCCAAATGCTGTTTCAAAATCAGTAATAGGAAGACAATTATAAGTCACCAAATTAGGAAAGATGATTATTCTATTGCAGTCTTATCTCATCTTGTGTCAGGTTGCTGTTGCAGACATCAGATGATGCTCTTGTCTGCTCTCAGCCACCCATCAGGCTGCTGCATCTTTTTGTGAGCAGTTTATTCCTCATTGAATTGCAACTCAGACTCTTGCATACTACCCTGGCTGCATTCATAGCTGTGCACTATTGTTTTACAACAAGGTTAGCAGAAGTTCTTCTGGCCACTTCTTAACATACATAGTGCTTATTCTTACGGTAAGAGATTTCCAAAGGCATTAGAGATGAATTGTATACCTCCAATGTTTGCTTGCCTTCCTCCCGGTCAGTGTCTGGTGTCTTTCCTGGCAGATGTGTCTTCCTGCCTGACCAGGGAGCCTTCTTTGTGAACTATGTGATTGCCTCTGCTTTCGTGGGCAATGGGATGGAGCTGCTGCGCCTGCCAGGCCTCATCCTTTACACTATACGCATGATCATGGCCAAGTCCACAGCAGAGAGGAAAAACATCAAACAGGTATTGGATCCCCTCCTTAGCAGGAGGCATTTTGATGACTGATCCTTGTGAGAAACAGTGGGAGCAACCATCCTTCATACCATTAACTATAATTTTCTGATGTTTTGTTTTTTTTTTTAGCCTTTGTTTCGCTTGTCCATGACAGGTTCATATTCCCTTCATTCACAGCACAGATAACAGGGAGGGATTTATTCCAGTCAGAGACAGTCAAAAATCAAAACCCAAGCTCTGAGCTTCAGGTATCAATCTCTTCATAGCTCTAAGTCAGAGTTTTATGATTTGGATTTTATAGAGTAGTTCTGATTTTATCTTACACTCTGAACTTCAGGGATTTTTTTTATTCAAATCCGTCTAGAGTTAGTTTCGTCTGTCAGCCATCAGGTGTGTAGAACTTGTTTTAAACTGAACATACACCTAGCAAGATACATATTTTTGCCTATATTCTATTTTAAGAGCTGGACTTTCACTTCCAGGTGAAGTGTCATCCTATAGCTTGAAATTCCAGGTGTTACAATGGGAACTTAAGCCTGTATACAGCTGCCACAGTGAGGTGAAGATTCTGAGATGGCACAATTATTTTCTGTCTTGGGATTTTAAGGAGCTGCTTCTTACAGATGCAGATTCCCTGAGAAATTACTTTAAGCCTAGGAAAGAAACAGCATCTTTTCTGTATGTCCAAGTAATAAAAACACAAAATACTTCATCTAATTACATAATTTCTGCCTCTTAGGGAAATAACTGATCTCTCAGGGGGAGTGAATAAGAGAAGGTGAATTGTTGCTTTAGTGAATCTATTCTTAACTCCTGACACATTGATGGATGACTTGAGAGTTTTGGGTGTTTTGTTTTTGTTCCTAGCAACAGGCATTTGAATATGAATTTGGAGCAATGTATGCCTGGATGCTGTGTGTGTTCACTGTCATCATGGCCTATAGCATCACGTGCCCCATAATTGTCCCTTTTGGTAAGTTTTCCAGTGAGCACTGTGGGAATGAGATGGGGCATGTGGAAAATTTGGAAGGCCCAGCTCTGCATTCTTATTCCTGTTCAAATGCTGATAATCCTTAGGACTTGGATCCAAGTTTTTCCTTCCCTTCTTGCAGAAGAACAGTGAAAAAGAGTATTAATTACTTAGCTCTTGTACTGTCTTTAGAGGTTGAGAGTACATTTAATGTCTATTAGATGTTTATTTTATTTCTCAAATTTGATGGCTTTGGTGGTGAGGGGTTTAGATCAGACATAAGTTGTAATAAATAATTTTATATAGTTGGTATTTTCATTTTCTAATCCAAAACTTTACAGAGCTAGATACAAGATAATTATCTAAATTAGATATTGTTCAGAACTGGTTTAATCAACAACCTTATTATTGGGAGAATGTGGCCAATTTTTATGTAACAATGTAATTGATATTTACTTACATTCCATTTTGTGTGCAGTTGTAAATATCTGAATGTGCTGCTGCATCCCAGAGCTGTTGCAATTCATAGCTGCCACAGCAGTTGCTGGCTGTTTGTTTGGATAAGGAATAGCTGACTTGAAATCCAGTCATGAATCTGGTGAAGGCTAAGAGAGAGATGTTAAGCCACTGTCAGGTCTTCCTTAGCAGCACAGTGGAAGGGGAGTTGGGAAGCCTTCTCTACTGGCTTGGCCTCATGTGCTAGCACCCAGAAGGAGCTCTGGGCTCTCCCTGGGAGCACTAGAGGCACCAGAGAGAAGTGTGTGGAGAGGGGGGAGGTGGAGGTGCAACAAGCTTAGGAGCAGGCGCTGTCTTGCAGCTGTACCCACCTCGTGTCTGGGGGGTGAGTACTCACTTGGCTAGTGTAGATCTCCTCACAGAGTTGCTGCTTTTTATCAGACCTCTGACAGCCTCTGCGTGGCTCTCCTGTTTTCCCTGCCAGGTTTGATCTACATCCTCCTGAAGCACATGGTGGACCGTCACAACCTCTACTATGCCTATCTTCCTGCCAAGCTGGAGAAGAAGATGCACTTTGCAGCTGTCAACCAGGCTCTGGCAGCTCCCATCCTCTGCCTTTTCTGGCTCTATTTTTACTCATTTGTGCGGCTGGGTAAGTAGTACCTGTTTTAACCTGGAAGATGCTCCCAGTGCTCTTGCCAGCTTCCCTGAATTAGATGTGAATTTTCATAAGCTTTTTGGGCTTTTATTTTTCCTTCTCTAAAGAGGAGATCATGGTGGTTGCCTGTGGCACTGAACTACACAAGATTTGCACAAGAGCCTTTGACAGAGATGGCTGATATAGTAAACTATTAGTGTGGGGCTCCATATTCCTTCATTTCAAAGAGATTGTGAATTCCTTAAATCAGTATACCTGGAATTGGCCAGTTGGGCTGCAAAGTGACAGACAGTGAAGATCGTTACATAAAACAAAAATCTATTTGTATTAAGATGGTCACTGGCTTCACTACCTGCATTCATGTAGCCTGGGCATAAGTTTAATTTACCTGGGTGAATTGGCTGCTGTCCCTGTTATACTGCCATCACTTAGGGAAAAATGCTAAAATGTTGGCTGATGCTAGTCCTTGTGTATTCTACATCATCCATCAAATTTTACATGGAAGACTGCAGTAAGCTGGTGACCCTCTTCCACACACTGTAGTTTAAAACCTCATGTTTTGTATGTAATTTATCTTTAAAACAGGGACATTCTGTGTTTAGCAAATAATTGACATTTATAATATCAGCTGTGCTGTACTAACAGCTTTGATGCCAGAAAAGGTAGGCAACAGCTTACAGATTTTTATCCATGATACAGGAGGAAACATATGACATGGAATGGGGATTTCACTGATGCTGGAAGGGTTGGGTTCCCCTTCTTTGGAAGGAAGCTCCTGATAGCTAACTCAATCGTGCCCTCATGGCAAATGACCATGTTTGCATTGTATTTCCTAGTGTACCAATCGTCAGAAAGGGATTGTTGGCAGGCTGTCATCCACCTTCAGGGAGAGATAAAGTTATAAGGAAAGCTCCCTGTAGATGCAAGAGGCACTTGGAACTATTGCTTTAGAACTTTGCTTTGTCCTTGGATTTGCATAGCTGTTCCTACATTACCTGTATCTTTAAGAACTTGTTTTTTCCTTTGATTTGAGAGCTGTTTTTTTAATCAGGAAGACCAACAAATCTGGGTCCTCTAAATTAACAGGAGAATTTCCAGAACATGCTTTAGAAAAATCAACTCCAAGCACTCAGCATCTGATGCACCTCTTTAATTGTTAGGAAGGAAATCCTAGTGAAATAAAAATTAAATCTGTATTATAATGTTTTCTAGTTTTGCATGGTAAAACCATCATTTGTCAGGGACCTTAATAATGGAAAACACAGACTAGACTAGATTGCTGTGTTTGGCTTGGTCAGTGTAGAGGATCCTGTTTACAGGATGTTGTTCAGTGGTTTGTCAGTGTACAGGGCAGTCTGAGAGGTAGGTATTTGATACTTTGGTTTCATTCCCATTGATTTCATAGCTGCTTCTTTTGCCAAAAAGAAGGAAGGAAGAGTAAGAGAGCTTTGCTTCCTTTTCTGCAAAATAGATCAGTTTATGGTGTAAAGCTTGGTTGCTTGGTCGTTGTCTTGTACATTTGGCTTGATATGGATGTTTCAGTCTGGTTGCAGAGTCCAGTGACAATACTTTGGCTTCTCATTCCTCATATATTAATGTAAGACGGGAAAGACCTCTCCCCCAATTCTCAGTCAGGATCAAAAATCACCTTACTACATATAGAAGGTGGGAGGCTGTACTCATTTTTCCTTCTGTGTTCTTTCTCAACTCTTGTGCCATCCATCCATCCATCCATCCTACACCTCCAGCACCATTGGGCCTCTCACCACAGAGGAGGTGAGGTTCTATCTGCAGTTCAACCCCCCATGTCCTGGGACAGTCACTTAAATCCCATGTTCTCCAGAGCTGTTGGCAGGCAGGAGTTCAGAGGACACAGTGCAGGGGAAACTGGTGTAGGAGACTTTTCCTTCCCAAATCTCTGCTGTTTGCCTTGTGGTTTGCACCATACATTGGCATTGGTGTAGACACACCTTACCATCTGGTAAATACTCATGTAACCTGTGCTTAGAAAAACAACCTCCTCTGAAGGACACTCCAGAGTACCCCTAGGGAGGTTTTTTCACTTCATTTTTTGGTTTGAATAGTGATGTATTTATAGGGCTTTTTTGGTTTTGTTTTTTGCATGTGTGAGGTGTTTTTCCCCTTGTGAACAGACCTGTGCAGGGCTTCTATAACCTGCTAAAGTGTAAAACTTCTCTATTCTGTGCCACTGCACATGCTGGGGTTACCATAAAAATGTCTGAGGGTTGGTGTTGCCTCTTTTGTCTGGAGAAGCTTGGAAACATCTAGGGTTTGCAATAGTGTTTACTTTTTCCTAATATCCTATTCAAGTAATCCTTACTGCAAAATGAGATTAATTTCTTTAGAATATTTCCCTAGTGGATCTGGATAATAAGAAGTCACTGTAATCTTTAATACCTTTTCCATACTAGGCATTTCCTATAGTTTATTGCACTCTCTCTGAACTAAAACTTACCTGTCAGCCTAGTTCATATTTACAGTCTCTTCTCTTGATCTTTTTCCTTGGATTCTTCCCAGTTCTGTCCGTATTTTATTGTACACAAACCTACCCAGCTGAAGGCTTAGTAGCACTGAATTATTTTGTGTAGGTGCCAGAGACTTGTCTTTTTTTTTCCATTTTCCCCTTTTCCCATGTTCTTTGATACCATCCCACTACTGACTGCTTTTCAGAAGTTGTAAGCAGCAGTGCTACTGTTATCCTCATATCTGCATTTTATTTTTCCTTCCAAATTGTACTTATTTTCTGTTTTCTACGTACAGTTTTATCTTGCTGTTGCTTTTGGGTGTTTTTTGTTTGTTTGTTTTTTGTTTTGATCCTTTAAAGCAGGTGGGGTGGTCTCATCTACCAAGATCATTTTGATTCTCTTGGAGCTGATGGCAAACCATCCAATTTTGTGCCATCATCATAATTAATCAATGTAATTAATATTGTATTTCACAGATCATTAATGAAAGTATTTAAGAAGTGGGTTCAGAATGGATGAATGAGGGAGGAGAAGAATCACTCCGAGTCTTGTCTATCATTTAAGTATTACAGCAGCATTTTTTGGCCTCTAGGAGAAGTGGGAGAACTTGGTATATGATGGCATTATCCTGTTTGTGGCTGGAACTGGGCTGCCCATTCCTCTAAGGAAAAAAAAATCCATGAGGCTTCTGAAAATGAGGAGGATAAATAAAGACTTCTTTTGGTTTTGTTGGGTTTTTCTGCAATGCATTTTTATATTGTATTCTCTGGATATTTTTCTAGGTTTTAAAGCACCTACAACCATGTTTACCTTGCTGGTTGTCAACATCACTATTGTTATTTGCTTGGCTTACACTTGTTTTGGCTGTTTCAAGTACCTGAGTCCACTGAATTATAGGGTAAGTGATGGATACCTGACTTTTCAGCACCTACCAGTGTGCTTGATGGAGCACCAGCTATTCCTGCTGGGTTGTCCCTGCCTTCCTGCTTGCAGTGTTTGTTCACAAAGATTCATGGTAAGATGGCTGAAGAGGGCCTGTAGTACAGGTAGGCTGCTTGGCAGAGTGGAAAATCTATGTCTACAGGAACTGAATTTGAGAAAAAAGAGAAGTATGGAAAAAGTATCCTGGGTTGCATCCCCAGCAGTATGGCTGGTTGAGGGAGGGGATTCTGTTCCTCTGCTTCTGTTCCACCTGCAGTGCTGCATCCAGCTCAGGGCTCCCAGCACAGGAAGGACATAGACTTGTTGGAGTGAGTCCAGAGAAGACAACCAAGATGATCAGACGGAGGGAGCACCTCTGCTATGAGGCCAGTCTGAGAGAATTGGGGGTGTTCAGCCTGGAGAAAAAAAAGCTCTGGGTTGACCTAATTGCAGCCTTCCAGTACCTGAAGGGAGCCTACAAAAAAAGATGAAGACTTTTTACAAGAGCATGTAGTGAGAGGACAAGGGGAAATGGCTTTAAACTGACAGTAGGTTTAGATTAGGTAATAGTAAGAAATTCTTCACTGTGGGGTTGCTGAGGCGCTGTCACAGGTTACCCAGAGAAGCCGTGGATGCCCCATGCCTGAAAGTGTTCAAGGTGGATGGAACTTGGAGCAACCTGGTCTAGTGGAAGCTGTCCCTGCCCATGGTAGGGGCTTGGAACTAGCTGATCTTTAAGGTCCCTTCCAAGCCAAACCTTTATATGATTCTGTGTAGAAGGATTTGTGGAGAGTGTCAGCACTGCACTGAGATCTGTCTGTGCAGGTTTTGGGTGCTCATGATCTGTGTGTGTTGTCTTCACTCACCAGTTTGATGTTTTCTCTCTCTCTTTCCCCACCTATTGCTGGTTACAGATTGAAGACACACAAGGTGAAAGAGGAAAAGACACAGATGTACCAACAGTCCCAACATCTTCTGTAAGAAGCTAAGAGTTACTAATATTCCCTTATGTTTACTAGAAAAACTTAATTTCTCACTCCGCTTACCAAAGAGCTTGTGTAGGACATACTAGTCTGAATGGACTGTGGGATTTCCCATGTGCATGTGGGACCAGAGAGTTCTGCAGCTGGGCTCCTTGACTGCTCCCAGGTGGTGTTCCAGAGGTACCTTCGGCTGCTGTTTTAGGAGTAGCTGAGACACACTGCTTCCAGCAGCTCTGTGCGCTGTGTTCTGTGCCCTGCCCCAGACAGGGCCTCACATCTGGACAGCTGCCAAACACAGTTGCCACTGCTTTGATTCTGAAAATTGTGACGTGTAGCAGGTCTTGCTTGCCATGTCACCGAGAAGGATGTAGGATGGAGGTAGAAGGAAAAGCCTTTGGCCTTCGTGCCACAGTCAAGAGGTGCAGGTGGGTGTTGCACCAGGAAGCCTCCAGCAGGGTGCAAAAGGCCTGAGGTGTTAAGGTGAAGAATGGGAAAAGGATGAAAAGAAGAGTGACAAGGGGAAAAATTCTCCTGGGTGAGTTATCCCAGCACTGTGCTTTGAGAGACACTAAAACCCTTCACTTGTGATTTCAGATGTACGTCCCCCAGGTTTTACGTCCTCATCCTACTGAAAGGACGGTGCTGGCCCCCACGGAGCAGCAGTCATATGGCACCATGGACAACACTTGTTCCCAGGCAGAAGGAATCAGAAGCTACGCCGCTGGACCTGCAGTTGTGGAGCAGGCAGGGGGAGCTTCGCCCTGAGTGCCGAGGACGAACACAAGGTGGAGCACTTGGCCCAGGTTTAGCAGAACTAATTCCCTGCCACCTCCTACTAAGTATTCGGTGTTACCTATGTATTCCTGCCTGCAGAAGAGGTACAGAAATAATTCATTGTGTGGTCTGCAGCTGTGCTGGGAGATTAAAAAGCAGATGCCTTGGGACTGATTGTTTTCCAGGCTGTCTACACACATTGTGAAACAAACAATTTGAACGTGGAGATGTTGATCCTCAGGGACTTCACTTTTGCTATCTCATCACTTGCCTTATGAAGATAACTTATGCTGCATACAGATAACTAGTCACCAAAGCCAATGCAACTATTAGAGCTGTCATTTATTTATTCAAAATAATTCTTCCCTTTTTAAAAATCCCCAACATTTATTATTTATAAACCTCTTGGGATGTGTTAAATCCTGAGACAATGCCACTTTTGATGAAAATACTGTTTGTGTGGGTGCTGAGAATGGTGTGTGGGAGTCTCTCCTCTTTTCACCCAAAGTAGTCAGCATAGTTTTGATCATGTTACCTTTTTTTTTTTCCTTGAAAGAGATGAGGGAATTACTGTGCACTTGGGTACTAAAAGTACCAAAGCAAAAAGACTGGTGTAAAGAAGGGAGTGATTTATCTGATACTGTTTTTATATGTTTTTGGAGGGCATTTAGGTTGTTAGTTTCTGTTCACTATTTTTAAGGGCCTTCCACAATGAAAGTTCACCTGCCAACAATAAAGGATGTAAACATTTTATATCTTTTAGTCTTGGGTTAAAATGACAGGTATCTGGGTTTTCTCTATAGTGCCAATTATATGAGTTGCAAGATACTAAGTTTTTAAATTATGTAGTAGGTGCTAATCTATTCCGAAGTGCAATGTGTCAAAGTGTAACTAATAATCATGGAGCAATAAAATACTGAGTTTAGAAAAATATCAGGCTGTCTTGATTTATTTATTCTTTTCCTTGTGTGTTGAAACAGTCCTTTTGCTGGCTGCCTCACAGCATGGTCATGAACTCTTCATAAAAGCACTGCCACAAGCCTTAGAATGACAGTATGAGGAATTTGAATACTTTTGGATTTCTCTAGGGGATGAATCTTTGTGACCTATGGGTAGGAGAAGCTTTTGGTCCTCTGTTTCTTTGCTTGTTGTTAAACTGTTATTTCCTGAATTTGACCTTTTCTAGCATGTCTGTAAGCAGCAATCTTGAGATTGAAGGAGACCTTGTGCCATAAAAGTGTGCAGATGTTCAGTGTCTTGCAGGACTGCTTCCAGCTTCCCAAGAACAGCACTCAGACAAGTGCTGAGCATGAGACCTGCCCACTGCAAGAAGGATCCTGTGGACCTCTGAGCCCCATTCCCACCCTGTTAGCTGAAGATGCACCTTCTGGTTCTTAAAAGGCAGGTGAGAAGCCTTGTCTAGTGAGGGGGGCATGAATTTGTCAGACTATTTTATACTCTCACTTCAGTGGTGCAGTTTAGTCAGGGTTTTGTGCATGTGTGTGTTTATGCATTTTGATTTTTAGCAATCATGGCATTATGATGTGGTGTGTACCTTGTGCACACACTGCCATTGCAGGTTGGTGTTCGAACCAAGAAGCCAAAAGAACCCAACAGACTCCACATATTTTACTCATCTGTGAGTCTCATGCAGATGTGAGGACACAAGGAGGAGGCAGTTTGTTGTGTTAATTAGATCAGAAGCCTGTGATTGTTCTGACTCATTTGTAGCTGCACTACCCCATCTCATCCAGGTGTCTGCAGCAGCAGTGGATGCTTATGTGCATGCTTATTGAATAATCAAATAAATCATTCAGCTACCACACTTGACCTGTTTACTGTGCTGGTGCTGTGGGGGTTTTCTGCTCTGTGATATAACACACTTTTTTGGACAGATGACTTTTGATAGTCACTGTGAGTTTCTATGTGTTATATTGAGGACAAAACTCCTTTAATGATTTGATTTCCTTTTTATGCCTGGGAGGTTGTTGAACCTGGGTGGTGACATTCCTTGTGGCTGGCACAAGTTCAGCACAGGCAGGGCAATCTCTCCTATGAACTTGAATAAAGCGACCTGCAGTCATGCTGAGGTGCTTCGCATATAGAATATAGAAAACCTCCGAAGTAATGGAAAGTTACATCTTGCTAAAAAGTCATTGTTGGCATTTGAGGAACCAATTCATGTGTCTGATGGGAAATCACCCGCATATTTCACTTACTGTGTAGCAGCAATTCCTCTTTGTCACTGTGCTCTGTTGCAGTTAAACTCATAAAAATGTCTATGGTATTAGGACAGGCACCAGTTGGAGAAAAGTTCACGGTCACCTATTAGTAAATTATCACAAGATCTGTGTACAGCAACACACAAATTATAGGCTGGTTTAGCATCTTTGCTGTATTGTGCTTGCTTCGCTATTATCTTTTGGGTCCCTCCCTGAGAACTGGAAGTAATTAGGAAACTGCCCTGGCTCTACTTCATTCCTTCATGCTGGTGGATATCTGGGAGGGGATAAAATTAGATCAGCAGGAGAAACTCCTTGCATTCCTGACTGAGCCTTAGAGAAAAGCTGAGGGATGGAAGCCTCAACAAATGTGGATATTGGCTGCACTGTATTTGAAATTCATATTTAAAGCCATGGCACATTCTTTACTGTTCTTTTTATAAACCTTTTGGCAGGCAGCCTAAGCAAATGGCCCAGCTGGAGTTGCTGATTGTGGCTCCCAGAAGCCATATTTGTTGAGATCCAGCGCCTGCTGCTTGCCTTGCATTGCTCAGTTGGAGCAGCGCCTCCCCCACCCTGCTCCTTGCTAAGTCCTTCCCGACATTCCAGCAGCCATCTCCAGCAGTGCTCCCGGCTGCAGGAATCCCGGACAATCTGACACTCTCCCTCCACAGGAGGAAGCCCCAGAGCGTGGTCTGTGATGGGATTCTCTGTGACACAGCTGAGGGAGGGCAGCCTCTGACATTTTGAAGGATGGAGCTCATTTGATACTGTACAGGGCACACCTCTGCAAAGACTTCAGGGAAGATGAATTTTTTCCAGAGTGAGGAAAATGCTACATGGTTTGCTGAAGCTCAGAATCCTTGGCTTGCTTGAATACATGGAGCTCTGTGCCAGGATTCTGTGTGCCAGGCCCATCTGGCTCACCTCCAGCCCTCTTACAACACATTCTCAACACACAAATTATTGCAATTTCTCATTTGCATTAGGTGCACACGTTCATGCTTTGTTTTCCTCTGGGCTTTTCCCATATCCTGAGCCAAAAGCAGATCTTTGTGCTGGCTAAGTTTTTACAAGTGCTCCAGTGTAGCAGTAGGCCATGTTCTTTCTGGCTCTTTACAGAGGTCCAGTTCCCAGCTCTGCTTGCCCACACATGCTGGCAGCACAACTGAAGCTTTCTTGTATCTGTTCTACAGATAATCTGGTTCTGAGCGTTTGGAAGCCTTTTACTTTTTGAAGCCTTCTCTTCAAGAAGGTGGGCTTGTCCCAGAAGCAACAGACTACAGTTTTCACCTGGCTTTTAGCAAAAGTGAGGTGAGAGGCAGAAGATTTGGGGAGAAGAGTTTTATCCCAAGTCTATTGATTACAAAGAAAAGACACCCTTTATTGTCTCAAAACTCCAACAATATAATGAAATGCACACTTTTAATTCCAAATGATGGCCAGGGTCATGTATCTTATCTGACAGTGGTCTTGCAAATTCCTTCTTTGTCTTATCTAGACAAGACTTCTTGAAGGATTCTGCTTGTCACCTGTCTGCAACAGCTGCAAGTTCCTGTTTCAGATATTTCAGAAGTACAGAATTTGTTTTTTTCTTTCTGAGGACAGCTGTCTGAAGGATAAAAACAGAAAGGAAGCAACTAAAAGTGGAGAGACTGAAGACTGGGTCATTATAATGGAACATTCTTCCCTATAATTTTTTGGATCTTGAGTGAAGTCATGGCATTTGCTCTGTATCCCACATCCTGTTGGTTAGAACAGAGCATCTCAGCTGCAGCCAATACAACTTCAAGTGGAAATGGGTGGGACAACTGTAAATAGCCAAGAAGGAGAGAGAGAAATGTTTGTATCTGCTCCCAGACTGAGTGGTTAACTAAGTGCTGGTTAATAATTAATGAAAGCACTCTTCTCAAAAGTGATGTTGAAGGTAAGAGTTCTAGAAATCCAATGTATGGTATGTCATAAAGTGCTCCTAAATAAAACAGGAGCCAGATTTTGTTGCTGTCTCATCATTACTGCTGTGTGATTGTGAATCTCCCATTTTTATGCAGTGGCACAAAAGGGTGAAAGTGTGTGATAGAAGTTAGGGGCTGGTTTTGAAAGGTACCTATCTGTTGTGTTTCTTAGATGTCCATTGAAATAAAAAAAATTAAAAAACTGCAGTACAGGAGGAAGACTGAGAGCTGAGGAAATGTAAGAGAGATGTGTTTTTGTGCACAGCTGGCCTTCCTTCTGTATGAAAATCCTTAATGCATTTGGTGCTGGTTTGTGCTTGGATTTTCAGACTGACTGGCTTTTTTATAGTCTGCTCTCCTGAAATGTAAAGCACTGAGTTGCTTCTTTCAAGTGAAGATGATCCATGTCAAAACTTATTTGGAATTCTAAATAGGCTTTTTCCCCTAAGGCAAATTATCAGTATTTTTTCCCCTCCATCTACAGACACAGAGAAGTAAAATCAGCAGCTATCTCTACAGATAAAAATGGAAAAAAAACCCCAAGTGATTTAAAGAATTGCTAAGGACCATAATTTGGTTGCAGGCATTGAAATTCTTTATGATAGAGTTCTAGATTTAGAGAATGAAGTAGGGTTTTCTTGTCCTTTTATATTTTAAATCTGTAACTTCAAAAATATTCCTAAATTAGGAGGAATTAATTCCCTTTTGAGATGAGGAATCAGAATCTGCTGGCAAGAAAAGGGCAAAAATTGAGAAATAAATCACTTGAGCACCTTTAACAGGAATAATTTAAGTTATTTATCTTCAAAAAGATAAAGAGTGGAGAAGGTAGGAGAATGACACAATCTGTGTTCTGCAGTGGGTTCTTCTGCTCAGTTTGTGTGAGATACTGCTTAAGAACTGTTGGTTCTTTGACTGGGTGCTTGACTGGAGTTTGTCCCTTCGTGTTTCTGCTCATCTCTTCCCTGTGCTGCACTCCCTCTGATCACCTGCAGTGGTTTGAACTACTGCTGCAAAGGATTATCTTTCATTTAAGAAGATGGTGAAACTCATAATTTAAATATCTTTTATTGTTCATCATATCCTCAAAACCACAACATTCAGTTATTAAACATGGGGAGGGTACAATTATCCTCAACATCTTTAAATCCAGTCAGGAAGGTATTTGGAAGCCTGGGGTTTGGACTGCACCTAGCCAGGGGAAGGAGCTGTCACTCAGCACAGAACTGTTTATAAATATCTGCTCTCCAGAAGACAACTGACAATTGTAATAGGGCTAATTCTTCTAGCAGCACTGGCATAACACCATCAGGGCTGTCTGGCGCTGCACAGGGTATTTCTTCCATGAAAGAAAACTAATCCTGAGCAAGACAGTTTTAGTGTGACTTATGTTCCTTGAAGTGCTATTACAGCAAGTAAAACAAGCAGCATCATTTCTCAGTGTTTTAAAATAAGCTACACCGAAATCAATATGGATTTATTCCTTGTCTCTTTCCACAGCACCCAGAAGGAGCTTTCCACTCCTCTTTGACAAAAATCTATCTTCATTTAGTGCATATTATATATTGCACCTGCTGTAAAACAGAATTGTTAAATCATTAAATGATGGTTTTGCTTCCTTTTTCTTGCAAAAGTGTGATTTCTAATCATATTTTTTTCCATTCACGACCTGAGTAATGCCTGACTTTTTTGTTTAATGTATATAAAGTCCTGTCTTGTTGTGTAAAATGTCCAAAGGCTGCATATGGT